TATATATATATATATATTTACCCCTTTAAAACGTTTTTCAGTTTCTTCAAAACTCAAAGATGTTTGATCAGATGTATAGTGTCTTTTGGCACCTCTGGTCAAGACCATTTGGCAAATTGTTGTCTTCTCACTTTGAACCTCTCACGCCTTCTGAAACAGCATCCACCCCCAGTGCTATTATAGGTTGAGCTGTATAGGAGCCAGAGGGTTAGATCAGAGCCTGCTGTGTGGGAAGGGAAATAAATTGACAGTGTAATTGAACACACCAGGCTGCCAGTGGCTCGACAGGAGAATACCAGTAAAAACCATGTGAAAAAAATAAATAAAAACACACACCCTGCATAAAACGCTCACATGGGAAGAAGAGAGGACAGGCACRTATATCTATATGTGCCTGTGGGCGTACCCATGGGTGTGTGTGTGTGACACGTGTCTGCCTGTATATTGGCGGGACGCACTCCAATCAAAGCGCCACTGCATTTTCACAGAATGTGCGTGCCTCTGAGCGCTGATGAGTGTGTGTGAGAAACATGACTCCACGCCAGCTAAGAAGTACTTCCATCTGTTGCACCAACCTCACACGAGCATCTGCGGTGTCACTGGCACTTTGCAGAGCCTTAGATCTCCTCAACTTATCAAAGAGATGTGAACGTACCCACCTCTCTGGAAGAATCAGGCGAACTGGAAGAGGATAATTACTGGGATTGGGTAAAGGGATTGTGTTTAAAGAGTTATGTGTATTGGGGAAAGAGGAAGACGAGAGGTCAGTACACCTGAGTAGTTTCTCTCTGCGCGTCCTCGCAGCGTCTTCCTGTTGAGACAGCTGCTCGTCCCACCGTCTCTTCTGCTCCCTGCAGACACAAACCAGCACGGTTTCTCAATTTTCAACTTGTGTTGAGTTGGGAAATTTATAACTCAGATAGACAGATTAAAAGTAAGTTCATATTTTCCTCCTCCTGTGAGTTGTAAATTATATTTGCTGAATTCATCCCTTTTTTTTTTACTCAGGCAGAAGGAAATTTATTTTGTACAAATCTCAAGTGTCACAGAGGAAGATTCCACGTTCATACATCTGGTATCCTGACTACTCCTACGCTTGAATCTTCTTGTGGAAGAAGCCAGGGTTTACAACGGATCCTTCCTGAGGGATCAGCAGAAGTTCAAGAAAGCTTCCTGTGAATCATTGCTTTTAATTTTTTTTAATAACTGCACTGAACTGCTTCAATGCAAGACTTTAAGTGTGTTTTTGAGATAACCTTTTCCACTATGTGCAGCTGCTGTCTTGTTCTTGAGATGCTACACTGGATATCACTTTTAATTCTTATTCTACACGTATGCACCCCACTGACCCTGTCATGCTTCTTCTCAACCTCGTTCCTTCTACAGCAGCACAACCACTTGTGTGTGTAATTACGTCGGGGGCTGTCTAGTCTTGCGACCCTGTGACTGCACGCTCTGAGGATACAGACTGAGAGGGTCTTGCATGTCTGAGCTCACAGGCAGACAGTCTGTTTTCACTTCCAATCTCACTGATTTGTCTGAAAACTATGTGAAGTAAGCCACTAAACACTAGGAGTGGGGGTATCGAAGTATGGATACTATCGATACCAAGATTAGTATTTAAAGAGTAACTTACCCCCAAATTAACTTTTTTTAGCTGATAAACTGTCTAGAATGTGTTTAAAATGTTATATAGTACTGTTTCTGTGCTAATTTTGATATTTTTGTGCATATTTGTTCAAATCTGTAATATTTAGTCTAAAAACGTGTTTT